CTCTGGATTCGATGTTTCACTATTTAGTATCGAGTAAAATCAACAAATAATTATGGGTCAAACGAGGATGAGAGTATTTTAAAGTTGAAACATAGTTGCAGAACACCCATCAAAGCTTCTATAATAATATTTTGTTCATCTGGAACTTGAAATGTCCTTTGTGTATTGATAAGCAATTCATGCATGACTTTCATCCTGATTTGACAGAGGCTATATAAATCTAAAATACCAGTTTAAAAACTTACATTATCAAATGAACCAGTGTTGCCAGTATGCCTGATTCAGGAGATGATTCTTGATTGGGCAAAGTTAAACTAGACTGGGCTACTAGCAAGTGATATGTCGCACGATTTGAGCTAGTAGTGAACTGATATTTCAATGTTGTGTGCACTTTTTTCATCGTCGCTGTTACTTTCAACTAAAACCTACATATACAAAAAATAAATAATCTTACATTCGTATCGTAAACGTGAAGCTATAAGAACATATTTTGAATAATTGATGTCCGCTGTCGTGATTTGGCCATCAGCAAACAACAGTCGTCGACACGAAGGTGAAGAAAGGAAATAACATTTGCCAGAATTAGGCTAGTACAGCACGAGACGTTTCTTGAACGTTTTTTCCTAATAAATTGTTTATTTGTTCAAAATATACTGCAACGAACGAGGTTTTACGCTTGTATTTTATCCGTATCCCTCGTCGAAGCAAATCCCAACGGCCAACGTTCGATAATGGCGCCAAAAGTTAGTACGCATGCTCGAGAATGATCGCAAACCCGATTGCTTACGGGCGCGTGCATTCTCGTTCCCAGTTCCCGCGATCATTAATATTTTAAAATATTACACCTAGGCCTTATTCTATGATTACACGTTCAATTCTCGTGATTAATTTTTACAAATACCGTATTTATATTTACGATAATATTACTAAAAATCTGGAAAACAAATTTCAATACCCTACAAAATGAAACATCAAATCTCACCTTGTATAAATTAATCCAAAAAACGTCCTCTTCTTTTTCTTTGCGAGCATGTGCATTATGCGGAAGTTAATTTGATACGATCATACGACGGACGATCGACACAATTAAGAGTCGATTTGACGGAAGGGTCGATTTGACACAATATTAATAGTCGATTTGACACAATTAAGAGTCGATTTGACAGAAGAGTCGAATTGACACATTTACGAGTCGATTTGACAGAAGGGTTGATTTGACACATTTAAGAGTCGATTTGACAGAAGGGTCGATTGGACACAATTAAGAGTCGATTTGACAGAAGGGTCGTTTCGACAAAAGGGTCGATTTCATTCCAGGGTCGATTTGACCTATGCGAGAGTCGTTCCGCGATGGAGAGCCGAAACGAAGCTCATAGGGGCCAATGTGTTGATCAAAAGCGGCCCCTTTATGTGGGGCCAAAACAAACCCGGAGGTGAGAGTCGTTTTGGTCTGTGGGGCCATATTGGCAATTGATGGGGCTAAATTGGAAAATGATGGGTCCGTTACGGCAAAGGGTAGGGCCAATTTGGCTTTCCTCCATACCCAAAATGGCTCCGTCGGTGCCAATCCAGCTCTCCAATGCCAAAATGGCTTTCACATAGGGCCAAAACAGCTTTGGCCCCAAAAGGGCTGAAACGGAATTTGGGGTCGATTTGGCCCTTTTTAATTTACAGTGTAAGACGAGTTTCCCGTCCCTAATATTAATTCGGCTATATATTACTACATAAAAATAGACATGCCGATCAAAAGCTAGAGTCGAGATAGTTTCAAACGGCGTGGTGCATTATCTGCGTTATCTCGGATTGCATGTCGCAAATTATTGTATTGTACATTCACTATAATTATGGTCTATTGAATCCGAGTAATCAGGACTTGTTTACACTTTGCCATTGCCATACGCCTTTTCCGGGTTCGCGACGCCATGTTGAAAGTATTGTTTTCGCTATTGCCTTGCCCCACTTGCAAATTTATCTATAGGGAATGCCCGCAAATTTCTACCCTCGAAAATAAAAACCATAAAATATTTTGAAATACCACCCCGGACTTTTTATATATGACCCTCGACTTTTTGATATGACCTTCGACTTTTTATATATGATTTTTCGACCCTCGCTTCCCACCCTCGACCCTCGAGAAGAACTCCTGAAACTGAATTACTAAAAATAGCTAACGTAAACGGGTATACATAAAGTGCGAGCCAGCGAGCCATGCCGATGTTGCGAGCCACCACAGATCGGTGCGAGCCACGCGATGTATGCGAGCCATGTGCAATAAATAAATATAAGAAATTGGTCTTGACCAAATGGTACTGAGTAACATCTTATCTCCAGGACACAATAAACAACTTGCGTGTTAGACTGATTTTTGATCTAGGTAAAAAAGTAACTTCCCGTAAAGAACTTGTTAAAACTGGTGAAAATGCAAAGTTTGGTTAGTGCGAAATGTTGTACAATACGGAAGGTGTAGCCTTGCGGGGTTTGCATGCATGTTTTGTATATGTTACAATATTGTATTTGCCGAAAATGCTAACAATTTCCAAACATATGCAAGGTTTGCAAACTTTGCAGGACTGTTTTTACCAGGGTTTGCAACACTAATTTCGCGGCCGAATTTTGCGATTTTGCTAATTTCATTCTGTTCCTTTTAGCTGTGGTATTTGATTCCCTTCTCTTTCCTAGGGTTAAAATTTGGTCTAACATGCAGGTTGTCCATTAGATCTTAAAACACCTAAAATTCCTGTAATTGAAATTGGGTTCTTGATTATATTTATATTTCGTTTCTGAATTTTGTCTATTATTTTACTAATATACAGTTTTACATTTCACTCGTTAACCATTTTAAATAATTTTAAATACGATTCGCATGGCTTGCACCTTGGCTCGCACTCTGGCTCGCATGGCTCGCACCCTGGCTCGCATGGCTCGCTGGTTCGCACAATATTGAAACTCAACGTAAACAAACCACATTTATCAAACACGCAAAGAAAATTATTTAAAAAGTAATATATTGTTAGTCGTGTCATATAGTTAATTGTCAACACTTTTTCAATGCATGGAGAAGGTTCATAACTGGCACCATAACTCATAATTAAGTTGTTATGTTGATATTTTGTTTATACAGATTGATTGTTTTAATTTGTAAGGCTTCTGTAAGTTTGTTATTATCAAACGTTTAGATATAAGCATCGATCTTAGTAATGAATATTTTACTTTAAACCAAGACAATACAGCTGTCGAGACCGATTTTTATTAAATACTCTATAAATAAAACATTAAACTGTGTAATAGACGTATAAATAGTGTCGGGTAAAGCTATCTAGTTATATATATTTTTAATATATGCGCTTTTGTCTAATTCAAGCGTGGTAGACAATATTGCCAATATTGTGGTTTGCGATATAAATTGCCTCGCGAATTGAAGACTTTCAGATATGTCATATGTCGAATAGATTTGTGCGTTGTTTGTACTTCAATTTCGGCCACGAGGCACAAAGGGAGACTTAAAGAACACGAGTGACGAGTGTTAACACAATTTAACTACGTACAGTGTTGAAAAAAATAAAAAATGCAGGTTAACGTCAGTAACAAACCAAGCCATTTGTCGATCAGAACTAGCTTTGCAATAACGGCAACCGCTACTAAACACGCGAGAAAGTCTCGAATTTCGATTTGTATTTATATAAACTGTGGTCACTGTATAAAAACGAGTGTATGAGAACCCCTCCATTTGATAATATTTACTGTAAATAGAACTAAATACATTGTAAACGCTCGCTCCGACCTTTAATACTACGAATGGCGGCTATTTTTAGATATTTCGTATTTTTGTAGTGCGTTGCATGCGTTGCGTACGGTGCACCTGTGGAAGTGCACACTTGTGTCGCCTAAGAAAAGAGATCTGACATTTTAATACTCCGGTACTTACAGTATACCCGGAGTAATTAGCGAAATATATTGCAAATGTGGCTTATATTAAATCGCCACTCGATTGCTCTCTCCTCCTCAGAGGTTTCAGTGACTACAACGAGCTTTACATGGCGCTTATCGTATTTATCAACAAACTGACGTATAATTATAAAGTATATATATATATTAAGTATACTTTATAACTATACGTCAGTTAGTCGATAGTGCAATCTGATGGCAATTTCTAATTTTACTGCAGTTTTAATTTAAGCCGTTTAGTGGGCTGGCTATAATTGTAGTTGTGATCGTTATAAAATATATCAACAACAATAGTATAATCTAATTACCACCAGCCAATCAAATGACAGATTTAAAATATCGTTTGTCTAATCGGCCAATCAGGCTTTTTACATGCGCCGCGGTAAAGAATTGTATCAGGCCCTCCTTCATTCGCCGCCGCCAATTAATCCTGGCGAATGAAAACATGGTACTCAGGTTACATTTATTATAACAAAAAGTCAACATATTTATGGCCGATGCTCGTCGTATTCCCAAATCAGTGATGTTAATTAAACAAATCCGTGCTCATGTTAATTCAAAGCTAAAGTGCCATCTGAAGAGAAAATAAGCCAGCCAGAATATGAAGTTTGTGATGACCATTTTCTTCTTAGAAGAAAGAATATGAAGTTTGTGATGACCATTTTATTCTTTTTACAATTTTCAGAGAATTTGCAGTATGGTATTATGTCTTAATATGTATGAATGTATAACTGTTGACCTTTAACAAAACACAAAAAATAGTTTAAAAATCCGTAAAACAGGAACATAAAATCGAAAATAAAATAGTGAAACAATCTGTCGTCTTAGTATCCGTAGCCATTACTGCTTTGTTTTTCAGTCACTTTGACAACATTCAAGGGGGAAAGCGGAAACTGAAATGGGGGTAAAACGCTGAAATGGGGGTAAAACGCTGAAATGGGGATAAAACGCTGAAATGGGGGATAAAACGCTGAAATGGGGAAATTTAATCGAATTCGTTGTTTGCTAGATAGTATATTTCAAAATAAGGTTAGGGTTACTGGGTAAGGGTTAGCATTAGGGTTAGGGTTTAGTTTTATGTTAGGATAGTTTTTTCTACGTTATATGACGTCAATGCAACAGCCAGTTTATGCACCTCGGTCAGCGTCAGCAACGCCACAAGGATCCCAACAGGTCCCATTACCTACCGCTGTCGATCCTCCAGTAGGAACATTTGTTAGTCTTTTGCAGTGTTGTCCTCCTTTAGTTCGCACCTGTTTTGGGTGTTCCCAATCGTTAAAACTCGGCGGGATTATCGCAAGTCCACCGTATGATTTGACGATTATTACACGTATGAATAGAGGTTTTCCTAACCCTAATACTCCTGATGGACAGTTGATGTTCAAAGAACAAAATGTATATTTCCATGTATAAATTTGAGTTGCCTCAAGATGAAGCAGCCATATTTTAACCCTGCCTGCGTAACTGTACCAAATTGGCTGCCATATTATTTAACACCAGAACATTTGCGCTTTTGACGAGAGTGCTCAAATTTGACGTGGCATGATGTCGATATTGTTTTGTTTTTTAGTTTGTTCAGTTAGTTTGTTCAATTCTACACGGCCAAAAACGCTGAGCCTGCTGTACTGCCTGTACTGTACTGTACTGTCTGTACAACAGGTTGCAATAATATTATGCTGACCTGTTTTTTACAGTTAACAACATTGAACAATATTATTCATCTTGAATGGGGTGCAACAATGCTGAACAATATTGTTAACATTCGTGAACAATAGGCGTAGCACATTATTGTTGCAACCTGATTTATCAACATTGCAACTACAAGTTCATGATTTTTACGCATGTAGGCAGGAGAAGAAAAATATTTTTTTCCGATTTAGACAGGTGTCCTGACAATTCCCGGGAAATTCCTGTGACACCGGTTTTACACCCAAAATACCAGCCATATGGCAGTGTGAAGATAGTATGCTATCACAAAAAGTTGAGTTCGAAGTTATATGGAGAAAATTGTAGATTACATTATTAATAAAAGATAAACTGTCAGATTATATTCGTTCTTCGAAAATTTGTGATTGTCATTTTACCGGGAACTTCTTTCTTATATTTATTCAGTTTTATAGGCAAATTACATGTGTTCGCAATGGTCTAGCAAACAACTAATTCGATTAAATTTGCCCATTTCAGAGTTTTACCCCCATTTCAGCGTTCTACCCCCATTTCAGCGCTTTATCCCCATTTCAGCGTTTTACCCCCATTTCAGCGTTTTACCCCCATTTCAGCGCATTTAATTTCAGCGTTTTACCCCCATTTCAGCGTTTTACCCCCATTTCAGCGTTTTACCCCCGCTTTCAGTTTCCGTTTCCGCGATTCAGTTTCAGCGTTTTATCCCTACCCGGAAAATACCGCACTCGTATTTAAATTATTCTGCATGTCATATCTCTAGTCTATGCATATTTATAATTGCATGTTTTTACTGTATGTATCGAGTTCAGTATAAATAACGTGTTTATTTTTTTGCATAATAAATTTTTAAAATTGAACGGAAACAAACGCATAGAACGTCTACAGCGCTCGCTTCGTATCATAGTCAAAGACCAAATATGGTAAATTGGCTGGCAGCCTGACGCGTGGAAACTGAAAAACAACTGTCAGAGCGTAAACAAGGTCACAAAATTGTACTCATAATCAGTATTTGAACGAAATCTACATGGAAAAAGTCAAGAATAACATCAAATAAAAAACGCCCCACAAAAAAACCCTCTGCGGCGGGGGGTGGGGTGGGGTGGAGGGTGGTCTCTGAGCAAATAGTCGACGTGTCAAAGACGGTGAAATGTACGAGTTAAAAATCATTCGTTTTCTCAAGAAGTATAAACGTTTTTAACAAATTTAATTCACTTGCAGTGGCGGAAATCTTGGTGGGGGGGGGGGGGG